TCTTAACCATTTGGGCCACTGCACTTAATTGAAAGTAAATGCCATTGATCACAGTGAGTCTTGCTTCTCAGTAAATGTGCATATATGGTTAGATTACTCTCCAACCAGAGGCTGAAATCCTATTCCCAATTTCTGGACGTCAACCCCAATATCAAACAATCCAATTGTGGGGACCTTGTCTTGACATGTTACATTCTTTTCAGAATTGAGATGGAAAAGCACAACTATGGAGATTGTAAACGGACCACAACCTTTGTAAAAATGGGTGAGCTCCAAAGATATTCCAAAGAATGCCAAGTCTTCTTCTGAACTTCTTTAATAACTGGGAACTTCCCTCTCAGTGTGGCAGTGAATCTGCTCTTGTTTTAGCCTGAATTTTAAAAGTGTGATGCAAGGCGGTAAAGCTATTTGGGGAATACTTGTTGGCACCTTGTACAGCTCCTTTAAAATGTAGGCTAAGGCTCAGAGTGGATTTATTGTCTCCAACCCCCTGCCATGCAGGAATACGCAACTAAAGCATTCCTGAAAGCTGTTCATCTGTGTAAAGTCCTCCAAAGTTGGAAAATTCATCCACTCTGAGGTAATCTTTTCTATTGTTGAAAAGCTCTTACAGTAAAAAAAATAAGTTCTTCCTAGTGTTTTAATTATTCTATAATTATTCTATTATCATTTATAACTTAGGATTTATTTAGTATTGTTCAGTGAGTTCTGCTCTGGCTGAGCATTTTGTTATAAATTCGCTTGTCTTAAATTCATCATAACAACTTGCTACTCTTTGTCTAAGAATTTGTTAGCAACTGATCTAGCTCTATAATAAAGTTGAGATTCAATTTCTTTCAGAGTGCTTGGGTGTGAACTAATTTCTCTGGTTAGGCATATTTCAGAAGGCAACCTATGTTGAAGCCAGAAATTGTGCTTGAAGGATAGATTTGCTACAGTTCAGTGGAACAGCACAGGCTTTGCATCTATAGCCCCAAACTGAATCATTGTCAAACATATTTAAAAGCATCTGGTGAAGGTAAAGGTTTCACCTTGGACA